TTACTGAAGAAGGTACGGTGTATGTTGTCCAATGCTGGCTTGGGCAAAGAATTTTGGGCTGAGATAATTACATATGCATGCCACCTCATTAATTGTCTACCATATGCTGCCATTGATGGCAAGACACCATTTGAAAAATGGTATGGAAAACCTGCTGTAGATTATGACTCTTTGCACGTGTTTGGCTCAATTGCATACTATCATGTGAAAGAGTCAAAATTGGATCCGAAAGCAAAGAAGGCTATATTTATGGGGATTACTTCTGGAGTCAAATGATACCGCTTATGGTGTCCAGAGACAAGGAATATTATATTCAGCAGAGATGTTACCTTTGATGAATCTGCCATAACAGATAAGGTGACAGTTGAAGATGTTTAACAAAATGGTGGTGCATCAAAGCATNTGTCATAATTTTTGGTATAGTAGTTGTGACTCATTCACACTATATACATTTGGTTTCCGCAACACGTGTTTGGGATTGCTTGTGCTGGACGAGGAAGATGAAGCTAGGGTTTGTCTATCCATCTTCTAATATAACTGCTTTCACCTGAATTTCAATGGCGAAGAGATATACTAGAAAAAAGAAAGTTGGAGTTCTTTACCGGCGGGCAAACGCAGCGCAGGCCTAATTCTGGCGGTTATTTTACAAAAATGTTTTTCTTGCGGGGAAAAGGGCATTTTCATCTCTCGGACTATGAAAACGATGAGCCTAGGCCCTAGCCATTCGTTGAAAGTCTCAAAGATTTATTGAAAGTCGCGAAGCCCGTTATCGACCAGTCATGCCCTCAATTTTCAGGAGTTTTCATTTGGCTTCTACTAACAGTAGTGACAGCCCGGGCCAATTGCCATAACAAAGCTAGTAAACTTTTTTACTCTAAATTTGTTTGGAATAATTTATTAAAAAAAAGTTGGTTGGAGCAGTTGAAGATTAAAGCATCTATAAAAGATCACAGTGAATCATGGGATAGTTTGATCAAAGATAATCAAAGCCACTTCGTCTTCCGTTATTTATTTTCCTTTTTCTGATATTATTTTAGAAAACCTGCATACATATTTCTGTAATTTCCTTTGATGGTATTATAGAATGGTAAATTTCTTAAGGATACACAATTTATTGTTGGGCTTGAAACTCTTTTACTTCTGTTTCTATTTTAATTTTGCAGAATTATTTTTTTCAAACAGTCTACTAACAGATACATCCTTTAATCATGCTACGTACTTCAGCTTAGATAGAACAGACTAGCTACATGAGTTCAATCTTAACGTTAAAGGTCTCTTTGATTAAAAAATGAGCTGAAACAGAATTCATAAGAGAAACTTGAGTGTATAAATGTAGTCTATATGAACTATAGGGACTAAACTGTAACTAAAATAAAACTAAAAAACTACCAAAGTTTTTTTAAAAGAAGAGGCAAAACAAAATTCGGGTTTCTGAAACCCGTTCCTTTCCTAATTTTAGGTTTGGTATAATTCGATTCACACCCTTGTACCAGTGGAACGTAATCCCATTCATGGCATCCTCTGTATCCACAAACCTCAATTTCCTCTTTCAACATTCTTCAGTAATCCGTCCACTGAAATCTACCACCAGAAGACAATTCTCAGTGCGATGCGGCGGCCCCAGAAGCAATCGTGGACCTCTAGTCAAGGGCCGAATACTGAGCATAGAAGCAATCCAAGCAATTCAAGCTCTAAAACGAGCCCAAAGAACCGACCCGTCCCAAATTGAAGCTCAACTTTCCAAAACCCTCTCTCGTCTCATCAAAGCAGATCTCATTTCCGCCTTCAAAGAACTCTTACGACAAGACCTTACCGATTTAGCCCTCAAAGTTTTCCCAGCCGTTCAATCTGAATGCAGTGTTCCCGATTTGGGTCTTTACGCTGACATGGTTTTAGCTTTGACTCGGACAGGTTTGACTCAACATATTGATGATTTGATTTGTGATTTAGAGAAAGAGGGTACAATTCAAGTTGATGATAAGGCGCTGGTGAGATTAGTGAGGGCGTTGATTGAAGGTGAACAGGTTGAATTGACTGTTAGAGTTTATGAAATGATGAAAAGGAGTGGATGGGGTTCTGGAATTGAAATTGATGAATATGTAGCTAAGGTTTTAAGGAGGGGTTTTAAAAGGTTTGGGAAAGAGGATTTGGCTGATGAGGTTGATGGACAATTACAAAGTGTGTCTCGTGTAGTTTTGGGGAAACATTAGATTCTGAAATTTGAGAACGAAATTAGATTACTTTTCTTTATCCATTGTAACACTAGTATACATTGTTTTTGTGTCCCTCCTTAATATCCTTTACCAATGATGATGATAACTGAGCTTTGATTCTAATGAAAATATTACCAAGTTCATGAAATTATGCTAAAATTAGAGGTCTTTACCCGTGCTTAGAAATTAGGGAAATGCAAATATAAGTTATCTCATTGTCAGGGGGAATCCAAATCTTTTTTGCAACTTTTATTTTTTGAATTTACATCTCTAAGGTGCAAGACTCGTATATAAAGATAACAATAGCTACTGCTACTAACGTTAATAGGCACTTTACTATCCATAAACAAAGAATAGTTTCTTGTCCACAAACAAAGCATTCTTCATAACCAAAGCATTGTTCTTCGTTATGCTGATCTTCTAAATGTTCCGTGGTGTGTCAGGTCGCACTGGATTTTTGCTTTAGATATACAAGTGTATTCATTGCGAGAAAATGACAAAAAATAGTCCCTTATCTTTGGCAGTAGATTCAAAATAGTCTCTTAGGTATCACATGCTCAATTTTGGCCTTTAAATTTGTCAAAACTAAAGTAAGCACTTTTGGTCTCCACTAGATATTTACCAAATTTTGATTCTAAAATTTAGTCGAGCTATAGAAAAAATAATTCTAACGACCAAAAATTACACCTCAAAAAGCTGCATCATACTCCATAAATAGACCAAAAATAACATAAACTGCAAAAATTGCACTTCCAAATAGAGTTCTCATGAAATATTTTATATTTTTACATTTCGATTAATTTTAAAAAGAAATAGGTTGATAAATATTTAACAGAAATCAAAAGTAATCAGTTTTGACAAATTTAAAGAACCAAAATTGTTAAGGTGATACTTCAGTGACTATTTAAAACCTATTGTCAAAGATAAGGGATCATAGTTTTTATTTTCCCATATTGCCACTGCAGCGCAAAATAGAGGAAAAACTGACATTAACCAAAAAGGAAAGAAAGGAGGTTCTTATTGAAAGGAGAAAAAAATGTGGATAGAAGTAGGATGAGGGGAAAAAATGTGGATAGGTGTAGGATGGAGGGGAAAAAACTAACGTCGACAGCAGGATTCGAACCTGCGCAGGCATAGCCCAACAGATTTCGAGTCTGTCTCCTTAACCACTCGGACATATCGACACTTTCCACTTTCAGGTCCTTAATGAAAATTATACCTCAATACCCAAGATTAATTATGCATCTGGTTTACATTCACAAAAAGGTTAAAAATTTACATCCTTCTATACTTAGATATTGGGGAGTCACACGCCCCACACCTTGAGGAGTGGAGGAGGATTATTTGATCTATGAGAACCCATTAATTGTCTAAAAATTTTATCCATTTATTACACTGGCTAAATTTTTCAATAACATTGAAATGCGCGAATCAAAATCATGTATTTGATGCGAAGCGTGACCAAGGCCTGAGTTAAAAATGTCTCTCTCTGGTTATATTGTATACTGCAAGATTTTATCCAAAAAGATGTTCGAAATTGTTGTTATATTAGTCTCGGATCAGTTGGCAGCAGTTTCCCTTCACAAATTGTTTGTACCCAGAACAACTACTAATGTATATGCCACTTTGAGCTACGCAAATAGGTTTCATCAATTTCCTTTTGACCAAATCGGTAATTATTATTGTAAGAAGCTGAATCTTTAACATTTTGTGGTGTTAGAATTTGTATACGGGTGAAATCGAGCCGGTGAGCGTCCCGATTTCCCGGGGAGGTAAACAAAGCAGGGTCGTGAATGTAAGGAATCGAAATCAGAGCGTGGAGCCTCTCGTATTAGGGACCGAGCAAAACACCTGCCCTCGGAGCCATCGGGACCACGTCCACCGGGTCCGGTTCGTGTCCCAAGACCTCCAAGAACTATACCAAACAACCGCACACGACTAACAAAGGACCGTGATGTCCGTGCCCAACCAGATATCATGGCACGAATCTCAGCCCGTATCGGCAGAAAATCAGTGATTAGCAAAAATGAAGATTTTTACCTTTCTTAGAATTATACCTAGGGTAAAACTCCCCTACTATATATAGGGAAAATTTATTATTCATTAGAGACACTGTGACGCGCATACCAAGGCAATATACTTCTATTTCTGAAAACTATTCAAAGTTCTTATTCTTGTTCATAAGTTCTTCATAAGTGCAAGCTCGGAACTAAAGGCAGGTTCCTTGTTAAGCCATTAACCGAAATCGGACTCATTTTTATCATTGGTTTGGTCATTTATTACGTCTTTATTTGCTTATTCTAACGTTATTAATCACTTGTACTGAATTAATCCACATATCCTTAAAATCACGTATAAATTTAATTGTTATCCGTTTTTATGGGTAAACGGTTTGGCTCCCACCGTGGGGCTAAGAATAATAGTGGTAATTTGATACAAATTTCCATAACACACTTTGTTTTACGCTTGTTCTTTGAGATTTTAATTTCAGATCAATTTAAGAATGTCAAACTCTCAATTTGCTCACTTGAACGTTGATGCTAAGTCTGGCAACCATGGCGAGAACAACAATATAGTGCCCAGCAACGAGGTGTCCCATATTGACCCCAACGGTGTTCCGGCCACGGACCCAATCGATGGCAACTTACATGTGGCCATCGACGCAAACTTGCCTACCGATCCCCAAAACAGCGTTCGCGGAGGAGCTCGATCAACAACCCGGGGTACGCACGATGGTGAAGGCGATGGGATCAATTTACGGATGATTTTCAAAATGTTACAAGCTCAACAAGCGGCGATAGCCTAGTTGCAGAACCAAAGTCACGCCTCCACCAGAGTTGAGCTCGAACCATACCTGAAAAATACCCAAAGAAATGAATAAACCACGGAAAGGCCGGGTGAAGTTAAATCCGGGACCAACCCCGGAATAATAAAGATACTTGAGGAACTGACAAAGCGGGTGAAATCAGGGGAAAATAAGATCGAAGCCAACGACAAAAAAGTAAAGACCTATAACTCTAGGGTTGATAAAACCTCACGAGCACCCCCGATATTGAAAGGCCTGAATTCCAAGAAATTTTTCCAAAAGCCTTTCCCTCCGAGCGCGACACAAAAGCCAACCCTGAAGAAATTCGGTATACCCGAAAATCCAAAGTATAACGGGACTACGGATCCAAATGAACACATGACCTCCTACACATGTGCCATCAAGGGAAACGACTTAGAAGATGACGGAATTGAGTCAGTTTTGCTGAAAAAGTTCGAAGAAACCCTGTCGAAAGAAGCCATGATATGATATCACAACTTACCCCCTAATTCCATTGATTTGTTTGCTATGCTTGCAGATGCCTTCGTAAAAGCTCACGCCAGGGCCATCAAGGTCGAGACCAGAAAATCAAAACTTTTCAAAGTGAAACAGAGAGAGAACGAAATGCTGAGGGAATTCGTGTCGAGGTTTAAAATGGAACGAATGGACCCGCCTCCTGTTGCGGACGATTGGGTCGTTCAAGCATTCACTCAAGGACTCAACCCCCAAAGCTCCTTGACCTCATAGCAGCTGAAATATAATTTGATAGAGTACCAGTAACTTGGGCCGACATCCATAACAGGTACCAATCGAAAATCAGAGTCGAGGATGATCATCTCGGGGCCCCCTCCGAGTCCGTGTATCCTACCAGAACTAATGACATGCCTAAAAGAGTCGTCGATCATGAACCAAGACCGAATAGAGATTGGTATTAACCGTATAATAGAGATCGAAGGGGTAGCAGATCCGGACGTAACCCTGTGAGGAATGAAAAAAAGAGCGATCGAGGCCATAATAGCCGGGGACTTATGAGTAAAAATGGTTTCGACAAGCCACTCGAGGCCAGGGAGGTACCGAGACTATCGAAATACAACTTCAGTATCGATGGTACCGGCATCGTATCTTCCATCAGACGAATCAAAGATACCAAGTGGCCTCGTCCATTGCAATCCGACCCTGCCCAAAAAGACCCCAACCTAATGTGTAAGTACCATGTCACTCACGGCCACATGATCGAAGACTGCCGACAACTAAGAGAAGAAGTGGCTCGGTTATTCAATAACGGGCACCTCCGGGAAATTCTGAGCGATCGAGCCAAAAATCACTTCAAGAATAGGGACACCAACAAACAAACTGAGCAAGAGGAACCTCAGCACATCATCAACATGATCATTGGTGGAGTAGACGTTCCCTAAGGGCCAATGCTAACGCGCACTAAAGTATCCATTACAAGGGAAAAACAAACTCGAGATTACATGTCGGAGGGGACCATCTCTTTCAATGATGAGAACACTGAAGGCATCGTGCAACCGCATAATGATGCACTGGTAATATCTGTACTCATCAATAAATCTCGAGTTAAGTGTGTGTTAATTGATCCATGTAGCTAGGCCAATATCATCAGATCGAGGATCGTAGAGCAGTTGGGTCTGCAAGACCAAATAGTGCATGCAGTTCAGGTTCTAAACGGTTCAACATGGCATGCGAAACTACTAAAGGTGAGATAACCCTGCCGGTGAACACCACCGGGACCATTCAGGAAACGGAGTTCTACGTGATCGAAGGGTATATGAGATATAACGCCCTATTCGGAAGGCTATGGATTCACAACATGAGGGCAATGCCCTCGACACTACACGAGGCACTGAAGTTCCCCACGCGGGGAGGGATCAAGATGGTTTACGAAAAGCAACCAGCCACAAAAGAAATGTTCGCAGTCGACGAGGTGATCCTGATGTCCGCACTCTTGACATCAAAGAACCCGGAGCCGGTTAGGAAGAAAGAAACTAAATAGCAATCACCAATACCAGCCCTGAACGAACTGGACACGTAAGAAGCGGGCGAGGATGATGATTACGGAGTTCCTAGTTCGTTCATCACCCCTGATGATTCTGATGCCACCAAATCAATGGTCGAAGAGCTGGAGCAAGTCATACTGATCGAACACTTGCCCGATCGGAAAGTATACCTAGGCACAGGGTTAACTCCCGAGCTCAGGAGAAAACTTATTAATTTCCTTATAGCTAACGTATATTGTTTCGCTTGGTCCCATCTAGACATGACATGGATCTCGCCAGAAATAACTACTTATAAGCTAAGCTTGGATCTGAAGTTCCACCAGG